GGTCCTTCACGCGCGCGATGGCGATGCCGGCTAGGTTCTGTACGGCGGCCAGACCCTTGCTGAAGAATGGATCGGGCAGCCATTTGGCATACGGTAGCAGCTGTGGAAAACAGCCGAGAGTAGCGGAAACCTCTCCGCGACGGTTGAGAATTTCGACGGCTGGTAGGTAGACAGGAGCGGAATCGACTGCCATGCGCACCTCGGCCATGTCAGCTCCCGCTTTCAGCATGCCGAAGGGGGCGCCGAATGCCAAGTCCCCAATGGTATCGAAGGCTACATAGTTAAACCATTTCAGACAATCGATATACGCCGTCTTGTCCGCGCCAGGAGAGTTTTGAACCAGTTCGTCCCACCTGTTGACGAACATCTCGAGGTTCTGATGGATGTATGGCTCGAACTGCGCTATGGCCTTCGGAGCAAAGGTGCTAGACACCATCTTCCTCTTGCGGGTATGCTCGGCGCGGTCGCGGGTGTTGAACAGACCGCGCCTGATAGACACGAAGGCGTCATAGAACTCCGATTTGAGAAATCCATTGCCGTGACCGTAGATGACTTGAATGGCATCGTCATCGGCGATACTAATGTGATTCGGTTGGATCCGCACGACCGGCCCTAGCTTCTTGTGGACCTCGTCTACAACGAGATGACGCTTTCCTCGCCTGGCGGCATAGAGGAGCCATAGGTTGGTGAACTGCGCCGGGAAGGGCGCAGGAATATCGCGAAGATGGCTGTTTGTCAGTATGTAAGGATACAGGTAGTAGACCGCGAGAGCAACACAACCAACAACCAATGTCCAGGGTGATACAAGCTGATCGAGGATTGCCATCTTAGTTGTGAATTATCTGTGTCAATTGTGTAGATTGGGTTCTACCGATGGAACTTAATGAGAGAAGTTGAGCGGCTCTTTTTTTTAACCAGCATCGATAAAGATCCGCCTCCACTTCCTCTACACGGCCGCACAGAGGACGTGACAAGTAACGTACTACACGGAGCATTTATGGTAGGGGTATCAGCCTTATTCCAAGCTCGATTCAGGGTTCAATGCGGAGTAATCAACGTGATATGACACCCCGCGTATTGGAATGCCGGTAAGAGCCATCGGGTTGTACGAAGCAGAGATTGAAGTAGGATGACCCTGCTTCTATCGCTCTTATAGCACATATTATGACGGGAGCTAATGCGTAGCGCATGCAGGATGGTCATTGCTGTAATGGCGCCTTGTTGGCCTGGAGGGGAATAACCAAAAATACAAGGATTGTAAAAGCTGGAGATATCAAGTTTGGTTGGAGGGGGTTATCATACCTGGTAGGTATGATAGGTACATGCAGACGAAAGGTTGGATTCACAAGTACTTTAGTGAGCATTCCCCATTATCAAGTAATACGGTAACTGAGATCGGTATCTAGAAATGTCAGCATAGGTATCTTCTCAGCAAAACTCAAAATATGATGACATTTTCTCACGGCATTCAGGGACGGGACCTAGTTTCATCGTTGCGCTTGTGACATTGGCGTCCTGTTCAATCAAGTATGAGTATCACTTGATGATTTTTTCCCCAAAACGTTCCCCAACAGAGTGGACTGTTTTCATGAGATTTTGGATAGTCCTGAGCATGCACTTCTCAGACAACATGCTACAGCTGGAGCAGAAGCTCGGCACTGGCCTTGCGTTTAACTACATGCTCACGCCCATTTACTTAATATAGCTTGAACAATGCATGTAGAAGTCTTTACTATGCAGCTAAAGGGATCTATGCACTAAAGTCCATGGATGAGTCAGGTGTTGTTCCATTCTTTGTATCGCCAAGCTGACGTAAGGCCTCAACTTCTATTGGATCACTCCCTAATCCATGATCAATAAGTTAGCATTGGAAATGAGGGGCCCCTTGCCATGGAAAACATTTCGAATGGGACTATTACGTTTGTTTCCGAGCTGCTTGATTAATGGCACTGCACCAGACTCTTGGCTATTATAGACGATTCCGGACCTCGGCTATCATCGTTGGAGACTTTCGGGTACGCTGCGCGGGCTGCGTTACGAACGACCGGGAACACACGGGAAGCACGTACAACTCAATACGGGTCATTTTGAACGTGATAGAATTGGGTGTTTAGCACAGCAATGAGAGTCTAATCAATCCGTGGAAGACCAATGGCTGGTTCAAGATCAGACTGTATCAAAATTTGACCGTTTTACAACTACCTAGGTACTCAGTAGAGAACTGCCTATGCCCGACAACGCCCCCATTCGCCCAATCCATGTAAGATAATTTATAGCTTTCCAGCTGTGCGGAAATCTTCAAAGGCCTCGATGACGCGGGCCTTCATAGTCTTCTCACCCTCTCTCACCCAGACACGAGGGTCGTACTTCTTCTTGTTTGGCTTGTGAGGACCTTCGGGGTTGCCGACTTGGGTCCTTAGGTAATCAATGTTGTTTAGAATGTAGTCTCGGTGACCAACGAGGTAGGCCCACTGAAGATCTGTGTCAAGGTTGACCTTGACCACACCGTGGGAAATGGCCTCCAAGAATTCGGCCTTGCTGGAGCCAGAGCCACCATGGAAGACGAAGAAGACGGGCTTCTTCTGGCCGTCCTTCAGCTTGGCGGCAACATGGGCCTGGTGCTTTCCGAGGAGTTCGGGGTGAAGTCGGACATTGCCAGGTTGGTAGACACCGTGGACGTTACCGAAACCAGCAGCAATGCTGAAGAAGTTGGAGATGGGGCTGAGGGCCTCGTAGATGGCAAGAATATCCTCGGGCTGTGTGTATAGGGAGTTGTTGTCGACATCTTCATTGTTGACACCATCTTCCTCACCACCCGTCAAGCCCACCTCCATTTCTAACCATAGACCTAGCGGCTGCGATCGCTTAAGGTATTTGGCTGTTGTCTCAATGTTGTACTTGAGGTCCTCCTCTGATAAGTCGATCATGTGGCTAGAGAAAAGGGGTGTGCCGTGCTGCTTGAACCACGCCTCGTCGGCGTCAAGCATACCGTCCAGCCATGGGAGCAGCTTCTTGGCGCAGTGATCGCTGTGCAAGATGACGGGGACACCATAGATGGGGGCAATCGCACGGACGTAGTGTGCCGCAGCAACCGCACCAGCGATAGAAGCTTCTTGGTTGGTGTTAGGAATAGACTTGCCAGCAAAGAAAGCAGCGCCTCCGTTGGAGACCTGGATAACAACGGGGGATCTGGATTCCTTGGCCGCTTCAAGGACGGCAACGACAGTAGAGGATGAGGTGACGTTGACGGCAGGGAGAGCGAACTCGTTCTCTTTGGCATATTGGAACACCTAGGGAGGAGACGCGTGTTAGTCATTTCTCTGAGAGAGCGGGTATGGGTAGATTAGCTTAGTAGCTAGGTAGCTTACATTGTAGACGTCCTGGCCGTAGATGACACCAGGCTTGAGGTTCAGCTTATCCATCAAACCCATTTTGAATTGAGTTAATACAGAGCAATTGAGACGATAGAAGATATTTGTTTAGTTGTCAAGGTAGTAGGTCGTTATGAAGATAGTGTAAGGAGTAAAATCGATGCGAGAAAGTGTATTGTTTGATGCAAAATTAGTGAGAACTCTGAGGGAATTAAAGCAGTGCCCTGACGATGAAAAAAGTTGAAAGAGGGAGAGGGGGTCCACGGGCCTTTTGGAGGGGTTGTTGGGTCAGACCAGATCCACGGTGACGCAGACGGCCGAGAATTTATTATGGAGGTAAGTACATCATATGGAGGCTACGACCCGGATTATTTCGCGAATGTCAATGTCAATTGTATCATTCGTTGGCTTTCTGGCCAAAGCTCCTTTCTGACTTTTTGGTTTCACCACTAGTGGCTCATCTGCCGTTCCGCATACTTTACGGAGCAATGGACGGGCAACTCGAGGTTCTTCCAACATCTAGGTAACATGCCGGCGAGCTTGGACGGTTTACCCCTCCATACGTCGAGTTCCAGCTCGGGAAGTCAAGGTGGGGTAACCCGAATATCTTCATAAGACAACCAGCAATGGGTATTCAACCCTTTAGCAATATGGATACATTATGCTCTATGATACTGTGTAATCTGTCTACACGTAAGAGATTTTCGCATCGAAGCGGTATGACAATTGGGAAGCAATGCTGAAATCAATGGCAAGTTAAATGCGGAGCACCTTTCATCATCAGATGCAAGCTATGTCACAGTCGAGAAGATTGCCCCGCCAAAGACACCCCCGACCCCCCACCATTCTATTGTTTGAGCTCCTTATCTTATCAGTACCTGAATCATCTCAACGATGATGCATATGGCGTCGACCATCGACATTAGATCCCCATTATCCTATACACTTCTACTATTGTTAATAGATACCATCTCGTTATACTCGACTTAGTCATTATAGTATTGATCTATTCGCACCTTAGTTTCTGCTTGCTACAGACCGCCTCGACGACAACTTCTTCAATCTGTCACTTAACCAGGATCAAACTTGAAACTTAGCGCTATATAAACTCGAGTAACTCCGGAATGAGTCTAGGCTTGAGGCCTTTTTCCAGCTGAATTCTCGCTTGATCACGACGCCGAAAATTTCCTAAGATGGTAGGTAGACGCCTATACGATACCTGTTTCAATAGACATCGTGATTGGGATACATTACCTACGCTTCAGTTCTGGTGGATACTTGAGAGCTCACGATATTCAGCGCGGGAAAGGTTCAAGCATAATATGCTGCATAGATTGGTCGTGTTCAATATGGAAGTTATCCGCTTCATGTTCCTAATATTTCAACTGATTACATCTTTCAGATTGCACACTTCCATGCTCGCCTTCCAATCGAATTCTTGGAATTACTCTTATGTCTTCATACGTCAACAAGTGGAGAGCTTGACTTCGAAGCCCACTTTCGAGACTGGATCCAAATGTCCAGCACGGGGCCAATCAATGAGACCGCCACCTAGTGAAAACTCTGCAAGCATACATAATACGATACTAGCGACGGCATTCCCATGAGCGAATCATCGCTGCTGACAGCGGCGCAGTGGCGGAGTGGTCTAACGCGATAGACTAGAACAATCTCTGGGAACGTCCACGATGTTGTCCAGTAGGTCTCTAGCCCATCTATTCCCTTCGGGGGCGTCTGTTCGAATCAGGCCTGCGTCGTATGATTTTTTCCTTTTTGATTTATTTTTCATTTACTGATCATATGGTGCAGCATTACTAGCGATATTATATTGTGCGCAAGGCTCGCATACAGATGTGGATCCTTCACTAGACTTACGTTATGTGAAGTACCATTCTCATTTTTTCGGGTAATCTTTTACAAAGAAACTGTTCATTGGACTACACGGACAAGACGCCTAACAAATTCATTATCTACACTAGAGGTAGCTAACAAAGATCCCTAGCTACCTCATAAGAGGATAAGGCGTAAGCTTAAGGATGGATACCTTGTCTTGTCTTCTAGGTCAAAGAGATGGTTACCGACCCAAATAAACTGAGATCTCGTAATTTATACATATATAAAACTATTGGAACTTCAGTCGTGCCGGCCATTTCTCACAATTCCGCAACCAAAAGATTTTCCCAGTAAGGTAAGGGTAGGTATACACACACTATCAGTATCTTGAACCCAGCATCATGAACTCGCGAAACAATCAGAAAATCACCGCCGCGGACAGGCAAGACCTGAAATTCATTGAACAGCTTCACAGAAGGGAGCCGGCTTGTACGGCAGCTCAACTAATTGAGAGACTGAAGACATATACGGGACGACAGCCTTCTAATAAGGTGTTGAGAGCAACTGAGCTGCACGTTGACCCGTACAAGGAAGCTCGCGAAGTTATAGCTTGGAAGAGAGGCCTATGAGATCTACTTGGTGAGTACGGCAGTACGCGACCCCTAAAGCCATTAGTACCGATTTACTCCCTACACACTAATATCTTCAGGCACAGAATGGGGATAGTGATTTATATATACTAGTTATTAATATTTTATCTGTCAATTTATAAACTTTGCTTGTATATATGGGGGCTTCATTAGTCATTTGAAAGGCCCATGAAGCCCTGAACGTTTGGCTCCTTAAAGACAGCGGCATGCAAACTATTTTTATAGCGAAGGGTAATATGCATCCTATTTTAGCTGCATAAGTGATTAATAATCCTTGCGAACCAGTGTTACTTGAACGTTCCAGACATCGAAGGACCATTTAACATCTTGTCAACCTTCCGATTTCATTCTCACATGATGCCACAAAAAGTTGGGAGAAAATTAGAGCCTAAAGGGCACGGAAGCCTCCCGATCCTGCCCTTTTCTTCACTAACCGCTAGCTGAGATCTGCATGCAAGGTTAGCGTAGCATCGCGTTTGTCTAAAGCCCCGGTGATATATCCACACATTCTAAACCTACCGGTTTACTATTGATCTTAAAGCAACTTCAATGCCTTAAGTTTACTTAAGGATTTGTACTCAGGTTGAATAAGGGAGCGAAACCGAAACGAAGCCTTATTTTAAGCGCTCTGATTGGTCCTTGAA